TTCTCGACGCCACCGTGTCTTAGCCAACAACCGGCCGGTTCTATACGGTTGAACCCTCTCTGGGCTTCGACTACCGTCAACGGTCGATTATCCGTTGTAGATTCATCCATCATGTGGGTCTGGACAAAGAATGCGAACGCGCGCGACGCGGCGGGTAAGCACAAGCAGTGTGGCCTGGAAAAGCAAGCCCGCCATACATATACATACTGCTGTAAATATATTGCAATAAATTATCAAGCTGGCACCACCAAACCTCCGCTTTTCACGCCTCGGTATCGTTTATTGCTCCTGTAACACCAAGGTCGAAACGCGGGCGATGAGCCGTCCTGGACCCCACGCAGGTGGTGTCCTGCCTTATCTGTCCCGACGGTAATCACGCCGGGAAATTTCCATTCTAAATCCCTATTAATAGGCAAATTTACTGCTGTAAATTCCGCTTAAATGGAAAACGCTGTTTCTCCGTCGTTTATGATCAGACTCCGGTTTTGGGACATTCATACGAAAGCTATGGGTCAGGGCCATCTTTTGGAAGCGTCAAAACAAAAAGGGCAGTGGCCAAAATACGGTATACCGTGCTGGAATGTGGCCAAAGCACGGTACAGGGTAGAACGGCATACAAACGAGGCTGAATGGAGCCACGTGATTGGTCGAAATAGGACCGCACCCTCCGGTGGCCAATATATCGGACGGTATACCTTGCAGAGGCCACTCAGCTCGCGAGGCCACCGTGTACGGTAACCACATGTACCGTGTTTTGGCCACCTCGAGCGAGGCTGTCGGCTCAACCGACCGACGCATGTCAGGCCTCTCGCCAACGCCCCGCCGGTGACGTGGACGCGCAGTGCACACGCGATCGCGGACAAACTTTTGGGATGGATGCATTCCTTCTCTCTTTCTCTCGCATCTCGCACACCACACAACCACAAATTATTCACACACCACACACCACACACGAGCACCATGAGCGCCGCCGGTGGGCCGCCGCCTGCACCACACCATCTCCTTGGACAACGCTTTCCCGACCCCAAGATCCTCAAGACGAGGGTGGCACAAGAGTTCCTGGAAGGAGGACGTGGCTTCAAGATGGGGAAAGGGGGCAGCGCACAGAGGAAGTTTATCTGCTCAGGCCGCACCAGCGACGGTGGTGGGTGACAATCTGAGGTACGCGCCACTTTGGCGCGGGGGACCGGAGAGTGGAAGGTCTCATTCGTGCAGCTGGATCATGTCAACTGCTCGGGCGGCGTCGTCAAGGCCGCCGCTGCCACCCTGGCGCCCTTCGCCGCCGAAGCTATCGCCAACAACCCCAACATGAACGCCGCAGAATTGGGCCGCTTGTACAAGAAGCAGAAGGGCCACAAAGCAGATGGACGGTCGGTGAGGCGGTACAAGAAGAACGCCGTCGACGCTCTGCAGGCAGCGGCCGCGGGCTCTATCCAGCAGGCGCCTGGATACTGCCGTGAGCTTGTGAAGATGAGCCCTGGCTCGGTCGCAAATGTCGAGGTGAGCACGCAACCTAGCCTCTGTTGTGTTTGGAAGTGTGTGAAAGTTGAAAGAGGGCCTTCGAAAAAGGACTCTGTTTGTTGCGCATCTTCGATCCGGGTCGTTTTGATGGACGCTCCGACGCTCTTGTGTGTGCATGTGATATTTGCTTGCGATCTTTGCGTCCGATCACGAAGTGAAGGTTGCTAAACCTCAACCTCGCAGTATCATGCTAAAAGCTTGTCGTACATACGCGCAGCGGTGTTGCGCTGAGCACATGTTGGGTGGATGGACACCGCATGTTGGGTGGATGGATGGACAGGACGGACCCATGTTGTTGTGTCTGTGTATTTTGCCCGATGTGGTTCTGATATGTGGCTTGTGGGGTACTGCTGTCATGACGTCTACGTCCTTGCTTGCTGTTCCTTGCTTGCTGTTGTAGTGCCCGCATAGTCCACAAGTGTCCTTTCATGTTGCAGCTGTGTGCCGTGGCTTCGATTTGGCAAAGGTGTGTGACACATTACTGTCGCAACCGAGAAACGAGTGATCTTTCTCTGCCACGACCAAGTGCTCTCCGCTGTGCTTGCTGAATGGCCTTGTAGAATGCTGCAATGGCGTTGGTTATTGTCTCTTGTTTTCTTTTGCAGGAATCGGTAAGGCTTCATGTCGAACCTACACGCGTACTATCCGAGATGTTGCTGGGTCAAAGGTCATGTCGTGAACAACCCCTACCATCGGTAGCCAGCCATTCATGTACACTATGCACGACTGGCTGCCGTCGAACGCAGGCTTGGTGTCCAACGAACTTTTTGCCTGCTGCTGCTGCCGCCGCCTCTGTTGTCTCTCCTTATATGCGATGCAGAGACACCCGGACGGATCTTTCAAGCGCATCGCCATCGTGGTTAACCGTGCGGCCTTGGTGATCGCCCGTGGCTTGTTCAAGGTACGATGTTGCCAGTTTGGTTGATGGATTGGTCGCTCCTTTTGGAGAAATCACTTAGCTGGTGGCCCACCCATCACCGGCTAGTCGTTCCGACGAGTTGCGTACAGGAGCAAGGTTTTGGGCCCAAGGTTTATGTGGTGTGAAGGTGAGGTATCGGTAGCGAGGTATCGGCATAGAGGGGCGCGAACGGCAGGTCGGAATTTGGTGAAACAAACCCGCTCAAATGATACTTGGTACGAAAACAAACCGAACCTCAAACCCTGAAGCATCCTCCTCGCTCCCCGCTCTCTCCCTGTTGTACTCGCCGTTGTTTCAATTCGGGCAGTTTCTCCAGGTCGATGGGGGTCACATGAAGGGGACATGGAAGGGGATGGTGCTCGTCGCTGCCGGGAAGGACACGAACAACAACTTGGTGTTGGTCGCCTTCGTCATCTGCGACAAGGAGAACTCCACCAACTACGAGTTCCTCTTCTCGGAGATGAAGAAGAACGTTCACCTGAAGGCACCTCTCGAGAGCCCGCTTACCACCATCTACTCGGACGAGAACAACGGCATCAAGTCGGCCATCGAGATTGAGGCCTCTGATATCATCCACCGGCTCTGCTGCAAACACCTCGCGAACAACTTCCCCGGGCCTGGTATCGGTGAGGTATGTAGCGCCTGAGCTTTCGTAGGGCTCCGTGTAGCATGCTGCGGTTGAAAGCAACAGCCTTTCCATGAATGCATTCCCTACTACTTACTGCTGCTGTAGTTGACAGGACACGCTTGTTGGCCGGGGTTGGTGTTGTAGGTACTTTACTCTAGGTCCTTTACTCTTATCACGTGACGAGGGAGAACAAACGCCGCTCTCCGTGACACATCGCCTCTGTCTGTGTGACATTTGTTGGGTTCAGTAGGACGTGGCGTGCTTCGTTTGTCTTCTGGAAAGTGGTGAAGAAATATTGAACCTGCCTCAACACACTACCAGTACTGTAGCTGTGCGTTGGCATGTCGCATATTATTCGCACGGCCGACAGGCAGGCAACAGCGTAATAATGAGGTACGACGCCGCTGTACACAGCTCGCACACAACATTTTGCGCGTGTGCACCTGTTGCTCGTCCCCTCAAAAAGCGGTGTATTTCCTTGGTCCTTTCCTTTCGTGCCCATGAGGGAATGAGGTACGAGCTCATGTCGATCCTTGCTCCGCC